TGAAGTGAAAAAGGTAACCACTTAAGGTTGCTCTGGAGCTTACAGGTCATTGCTTGGATGCAAAGGAATACAGAAGTGTTACATTTCAATATCACTTGGGAGTGTTGCCAATATTTCTGTTGAGAAGAAGTAGAGTTCTTAATCACCTCTACTGCCTCAACTCTGAAGATGACCTGGTGTGCCCCCGCAAAGGCTCATTAAGTTGTAAGTAAATAAACACAAAAAATGTATCAACTTCTGGGACAAAAATGGAAGATTTTAACAAAAAGGCAGCAATGACATAAAGCTGTGTTTTCTCTGTGTCAACAGCACAGAGATCCAGACCAGTCCCATTTGTTTTGCCTCAATGTCCTTCTCAATGTCACTATATCAGTTTGACCATCCCGTAGCTCTTCGGGGAGAAAAAAAGGGATTCCAGCGCCTGACAGAGGCAATGGAATGAAGTGGGAGGAGGGCAGTTTAAAGGTTCAGTTCAGGGTCCAGATCCTGTCCCAGCTGCATGAGCACACCAATGTCTGATGACAAGTCAGCTCCAGATCCTGTCCTGGCCTTATCCGCCGCCCCCATTTCTCTCCCCCACTGTGCCACTATTCCCTTTCTAATCCTCTCGCTCTCCTCTCATCCCAGATATGATTGCGGCTGTTGTTGTTATAGCCACGGCTAAAAAAATGGAAGTGCAACAGATGCACTATGGTTTCTCTGCAATGTCACACGTAGGCAAAAATGATGATGCTGTTGAGTTAGAGGCAAATAAATAAATGGACAATAAGGAACTGCTTCTCTGCATGCCCCAAAGAAAGCCTGACTATGTTTGATTAAAGATGACAGCAAATGACAACATGGGGCTTCTTGAACACAAAGAGGGTTTGCATCATTGTGGTTCCTGCAAGATTCGAATGCAAGCCTAAGGTATCATGGCACATTGTCAACTCATAGTGTACAGTGTCAACAGGTGACAAATCTATTTACCCGCATGCTCAGCATTTATGTTCTTGAACTGTTTATAGAATACACACATCCATGCGTACATGAGCAAACAGAGGATGATGGATTGTTTGGTTAGGATTGTCATTAAGACAATTAGATTTTTAGAATTACATATAAAGCTTTTTTGTGAAAAAAAAACAAACAAATAAGCGTTAGAGCCCAGGAACTACTCTGCTGAAACATAGTGGAAAAGGAACATGAAGGAAAACATTGTTCCAAACTGCTGTTGATGGACACAGGCAATAAAAATGTTTTCATATAGTTAACAAATCAAAAAACTCCTGTACTGTCAAACCCAGGGAGGATCAAAAATACTCAGCCTACAGAAGACAGAGAACCATTGATTGTGTCCCAACAGCAATTATAACCTGTGGTTTCCAGCAATTAGGTTCGCCACTACAAACATCGAGAAACCGCTGGGGCAGAAAACTTCAAGAAACATTCAAATCATTTTCATAAGAGGGATGACATCAGTGGGCGAACTGAGTCACACCACTACAGTGACATTCCCACTGTCATGCAAGAGAAAGATCACTGCGCCCTCTTGCCCTATCCCAGCATGCTTTGTGCCATCCAATGAGATGTTCGTTTTGGCAGTGCATGTTGACAGTCCCCCAGACTGCTAATGTTTACCCACAAACACACACTGCATCAAAGGTCGCTTTTTGACGTTTTACCCAGAGACTAGACTTGAAAGGGCGATTTGGTTGGGAGGAGTGGGCTCGGGATAGGGTGGGGAGTGTGGGTGGGGCAGGTGAACCAAAAAAAAAATGCCCGCCATCACCCTGTTAGGTTTAATATGCATTTATATGGAAGTGTTTGATATAGAAAGACGGTGTATTGATACCCTTTGCTGCCCTTTGTTATTCACTTTCATATTTCAAGTTTCCTGTCATTTCAATGGATCAACATGTGCTGACCAGTTCATGTTGACTTCAACGAGAGGAAACATAGATAGATGTCAACGTGTTTAGTCCACGGGGAGGCAAGCTAGGAGGGAATCAGGGATGCAGCGTCTGCACCATGACCCTAATCTCTGTCCATTATGCACATTACCCTACATTGGTTTGCAAAGCGCGCAGGATTGGTGTGTGTGTGTGTGTGTGTGTGTGTGTGTGTGTGTGTGTGTGTGTGTGTGTGTGTAGAGTAGAGGTAGGGATGGTAAACATGGCCATGTGCTTTCTCCATGTTGTTACTGACAACCACAACTTTGATTGTCAACTCTCAATATGAGGATATCAATAGCCCGATCATTAAAATATTCTGCCATACTACAGTTATTTCAAGAAGATAGTGGGAGAGCTCAACAGATCTGCAGTTTTACGACAAGATACCAGGGTTGACAGTGGAGAGCAAGGAAACATTGTGATGACCGACGTAGTCTTGAAAATTCTGATTAAAGTCCGAGGGCTCGTTGATTGAAGACTTTTCATTTGGTGGACACGGATTTTAATCTAGCTGGTCCTTTCGTCCAAAGAGACATCCAGGTTACCTTTGATAATGACATAATTGGGGCGCCAGTGGCCAAGTGGTTAGTTGGAACACCCCTTGTACAGAGGTTGGAATTACTCGAAGGAGGCGGCTCGGGTTCAAATCCTACACTTTCCCACATGCCATTCCCCACTCTCAGATTTCTGACTCTTTCCACTGACCTGTCCCTTCAATAAAGGCACAAAATGCCCAAAAAGAAAACATAAAGCCATGAGGACAGTTTTCAAAGCTTTGGGAATGTTTTCTCGCTTTCTCACAGCGCGGACACTCAAAAGCCGTGATGAAATACCAGGTAAGAATATCTTACGAGGCACAAAAGAAAAAGAAACAGCTGCTGTTTTTTTTCCGGCACAATGTGTATTAATTCATCGAGTGGGAGGTCTCACATCAGATCCTAACCCATTAAAATGCATTCACACAAGCTTTCCCATAAACATGTTACAGCATTAATGTAAACAACCTATCAGACAAACAGTGCTGTCCATTAAAGTTGACCTTTTAGATGCAAACTGTGGGGGAGCTTTGGGGGCGACGTAGTTGTGCAGCCCGTCTCCATAGTAACAAGGCCCCGGCAGTTCAGTTGATAGTGGTTTTGGGGTTTAAATGCCATCGGAAAGAACAGTGTGGAGTTCTGTAACAAGTTCGGAAGAATGGTGTAGTCATTGTAACTCATTTGCAAAGATTGACTTGTGGGCGAGTGTAATTGTGGTGGGTGGGGAAGGGAATGAAATGAGTGTTAACCATTACCCCTGGCCACCCACAAGTCCCAGGAGACTCCCACAGCCATGCATAGAGGCAATTTGCTTTAAAAAAAAAAAAAAAAAGACATAAACACATCCTCCCCTTAACGTCCTTCAGTTTCCCACACTCCCCTCGACACATTTGTTTGAACATACAGCTTTCTTCCACCTGCACACAATAATGCAAGCACCTGATTCTTAAATTACTATCAACATTGTTTTTACATATGTCTACTCTTTTAACATCTAGATGACATAGGTTATTAAGTAATATGGTGTCCACTAAACAAGCTGTCATAAAAGCCTAGCACACACATTTTATCTGAAGGTAAAAACCTTTTGGAGCAGAGCCAGACAACCAAACTAAATATAGCTAGTCACTGTTTCAGCAGAAGGTGATTGAGAAATAAGGTCCTCCCCAAAACAGAAGGAAGTACGTTTTTTTTTTGTTTTTGTTTTTTATAGAGGAAGAGCAGCTCACATATGGTAGATTGATATCCTGTGGCTTACTTGGAAGAGATGATAGGGATCAGAGTGTGATAACAGGCCATGAGAGATAGAGAAGAAAGAGAGGTTTGTTTATGTGTTTATGTGTCTCATGGAGCAATGCAAAATGTTTCAAACTCTGCAAGTTTTTTTTTTAGTTTATCGTTCAGTAACACTGCCACAAATTCTTCTTCTTTTAAGTGTGACGACAAAATGACACTTGATTTTTCAAATATCAAACTTTCTCGCACACCATGGTGGAGAGTAACTTCTGGTCATTTTAGATCATTAAAAACCGTTTTTTTTTTTTTTTTTTAATTTAACAAGCTGGGAAACAGGGACAGCCACTCAGGGAGCTGACCCCAGACAGGTTAGCAAAGAGATTAGGTCGTACTTATTTCTTTCTCTGCTTTTCTTCACAATGCACATCTCTTTCTTGCCGTCCCATCTCCTCTCAAGCCCTCAGGAGAGATGAGCCATTGGCCTCGATCTACCTCAGAACCAAGTGGTTCCTGCTTTGGCCCACTTTCCTCTGCTCTAAAATAAGAGCTAGCAGCATTTGGGCCAAAACAGAAAAGTCTGGGTTTGTTCTCTCAAAATGAACATAAACAGTTCACAGAATAAGTCAGCCATTAGATAGTTCTGTTAGAAAAAGCAAGATGAAAGATTGTAGTAACAAATGTTCAGATAATAAAGGTTATTCCACTACAGAGAGAGAGAGAGAGAGAGAGAGAGAGAGAGAGAGAGAGACAAAGGAATAACAATTATTAACAGTGTTAGCTCGGTAGCAAACTAAATGTCAAGGGCCTTTTGTTGCTGCTTTTGTTGCGAAAGAGTGAACGGGCTTCAAATACAAGATAATGACTTTGTGTCAACGTCACATTGTTTCACAGGTGGGGAAGATGAGATGAGACATCAGTGCACCAATCTCATGAAGAAACAGAGGAGGGGAAATGTCATCACTATTTCTCAAACATGTGGCACGCAAACCCTGCTGAATGGGGAACTTATCAAAAACAAAACAAAAGCAGATTGATAAGGTGGTGAAAAGTGTAGGTGATCTAATTTGTCCACTTTTGATAATCAACACTACTAGCTAAAATAACTAAAAGCTTACCACCTTTTGAATGAACGAATGGAAGGCAGAGAGAGGAAACTAGCTGTGCAATTTAAAACAAAGTTACAACTATTTAGAGCTAAAGCTAAAACAAAATGTCAACAGAATTTAAAAAAACAAAAACAAAAAAAAAAACATTATTTTTTGGGTCAAACGTGATCTGTCCTTTGCCTGCTCACCATCTCCACTTGTCGAGGATCCAGGTTTGTGGGCGCAGAGGATGAAATCGCAAAGTGGATCTTCTTCCTCTCCTTGGGCTCCCCTTCAACCTCAGTCGACACGGAGGGGTCCATGGCTCTGGATGGGGTCCCCGGGGGACAGACTCCCAGCAAAAAGGAGAGGTCGCTACCGAAGATCCTCCCTGGAGGAACCTCCCACTCCTGATAAGTCCCACTCCTGGAAGACTTTTCCTTTCTCTCCTCACTCCCTCACACCTTCACACAATAAACCGCACAGACCCTCTCTTATTCACCTCCTGTCCTCTCTCCCTCACCAGCAGTTTCTAATATTCTCTCCTCTTGCTCTCCTGTCCTCCTTTCTTTCTCTTTTCTCCCCTCACTTGCAACCTGTGCAGCTGGAGTGAATGAGGCAAGTGCTTAGATCTGTGAGGGAGAGAAGTGGGTGGGTAGAGGCTGGATGGGGAGGGACCAAGGTCCAAAAGAGGGTGGAGATATTAGAAGAGAGGGGAAGAGCCAGAGCAAATAGGGGAGGGGATGAATGAGGATGCAACAGGGGGAACGGCTGTGTTTTTTTTTTTTTCTATCTATCTAAGCTGAGGTTGATTTGTAATCAGAAAAAAAAAATAATAATCTCATCACATCAGCTGAGCCTCTTTTGGCCTCTATTTGTGAATGAGAGATTTATGCTGGGAGAGGGAGGGAGCAGGGGGAGCAAGGGGGGGGATGAACATGAGGAGAGATGCATGGAGGGGAAATATACACGGGGATCCAACAGATAAGCCGATGCTATTGACATCACAAGATTTATCAGGCTGGGTCATGTTAAACGTAATGGTATAACTAGTATTCTAGCTTCCCATTCATCTTCCATCGCGTAGAGATTTCGTCTTAACTGAGACAAATCCCATTGTGATGTGTTTTTGATCTATCTGCAGATGGCATGAATCTAATTTACATTTTTTTTTTTTTTTATGAAGAAGCACTGGAATTACAAAAAAGTGGAACATTTTCAAGACCTCATCAATAGAAAAAAAAATGATGTTGGAAACAAACGAATGGAAATGAAAAAAACAAGACGAAGAAAGTAGCTAGAGCCGTGCAGTTCCAGAGCTGTTTTCAGGGCCTTGCTGTTATTTCACTTGCATGGCAAAGGGATTTGGAGAGTGAAGAGAAGTGGATTTGGCCTCAGGGTAGAGTTGAGCTCTGGCATGGGCAGAGAAGGGGAGTGAGGAGGAGGAGGAGGAGGAGGAGGAGGAGGGGTGAGGTGGCTGCAGGGGCTGGTGGGCAGAACAGAGGAGAGGGTCAAGGTGTTTATGGTGCTCTGGGAGCAGGACTGTTGTACAGAAACACATTATACAGTCCAATGAGTGTTTATCCCGCAGGTCAGAGCAAGCATTCATTCATTGTTGCATGAGTTGGTAAGTTGTGCTGGGTGTTTAAAATAGAATTACTTCCATTTAAGCAAAGCACCCCCTGCACATATCTTCAGTGTGCAGCTTATTATTTAATCTTCATGCACATAACATTTGGATGGCTGTCGTTCAGTTTTATGGAACTGCTACATGCACAACTTTTCAGTCACATGTTGCCATTTAAAATGGCTTCATAGAAGTTGCACAACTTTGTGTTATACTTCATACGGAATGTGTTTAAAAGCCACAGAATTACAGCATTAATAACACCAGAGAATGTGTAATTGCCAAGTAATTGACTATAGAAATAAGATAATTTTATATGTTTCAAAGCAAAGCAGAATCAAGCAGAATCAGAGAGGCCTCTGAGTCTTGATGGCATCCAATTCGGCAGGATAAACTCAAGGGGCAACCTGCTGCCCTTGTTCTCAGTCCAAACAAATAAAATACAGATTCAAGACAGGATATCTGATATGTACAAATATGTTGAACACTTGTTTGGTTGGAGGACACTACACAGAGAGAGAGATGTTCTTTCAACATGATTTTAAAGAGCTTATGAGCTTGTGACAGGTCAGCACTGTGGCCAATAATGCAGCAAGACAAAATGCTGAATGCCAGATGAGTCAACTCCTCTATGTCCTCCCTGCTACAGCACTAGAAAAACATTTGCTTCATAAAAGATCAAGGGAAACACTTTGCTTTGTAATCATTATACTGCTGTAAACATTTTCAGGCTAACACAAGAGAATACTGACCATGATTGTAAAGTCATCCCAAGAAGTGAAAAGGCCAAAACTTCAAATGTGCTCTATGATGCTAAAACTACGTCCAGCATCACTGATGGTGCAGTCACAAGTGTGATCTGTTATCTCACCTGACAATAATGTGACGGTGTCATGGAGTATAAAGTAAATATGATGCACTGTTTGAGGACTTTTTATTTGTCTTCACTTTTGGAAGGAATATTGTACTTTTTTATAGTCACCTATTTAGTATAACTGCATGAAAAAGGTGTTAGAGGGCAAACCAAGAAGAACAAGCCAAGATGGAACAGGAAATAACATGAAAATAGTAAAACATAGACATGTTGAGAGAGTGCAAGGTAAGGCTGGCAAAAACAGTTATCTGCAGTGTACTGGGAAACCAATAACATATGAGGCATTCAATCACCAACATAATCACAACTCTTAGGCAAAGTAAAAAGTGTATTTTGGCTTTGGTTTATAGTGAGGAAATTACCTGCAAATAAATGCAAACATGTTTATTTAAAGAGACTAATATCAAATCAAGGACTTACATGGGTAAGAAAAGTGGGCACAATCATGGCACAGAGTTAACCTGTCATGTAAAGTCATGTGCTGCTCTATTTTATAACACATGAGAAAGCATTTTACTTTCAAGCAATTTCGAGCATTGACAGTCATTAGATATGTAATTACTAAAGATGACTGACAACAGAAACTTCATGCTGTATAATAACAAATGGGTGGATCACACCAAGAGACTATCTTAACGCTGCAGTAATCCGTTTTTTTTTCTTTTTCAATTTCAGGTTATAAATTCTGTCTTGGAAAAATCTGGAAATATTTACTCCCTGGTGTTTGCTGTGCCATGTCAGCTAAGCATCTACAGCTCCACAATAACAGTTGGAGCTGGGTTTGGATTATTGTGTGAAGCTGATTGGAATCAGTTAAGGTGGAGGTAGTGAAACATTTGGCAATCATCACTTTGTCAAATAAATTAACATGAAAAAAAAAGAGAGAAATTATCATGTAGGCTTTTAAATCTATGAGTGTCAGAGCAGCCAGGCATTGTAAAAATCCTCTGGCAGTCTGTCACATTAACAGTATTACTCTACAAGCTGACACTCTGACAAGTAGAACAAATTGCTCTAATTGGAAACCACGTGGATATTCTTCAGTATATGAACTCAGTTGAGCATAAACAGATTAACAGAGGAAATCACTGCAGAGGAAAACGTCAGTATATCAATATACAGTAGAAAAAGTTTGCTGTTTTTACCCCTGGGGGGGTGTGTGCTTCATTTCCTCTTCTTATTATGTCACGGACTGTACTCTACTATGCTACATGTGTTTACAAACAGAACCCATCACGTTGGCCCATCTACGTATTCATGTGGCTGCATCTATTTTTATTGAGCTTCACTCTGTATGTATTTGGATATTATTTTAGGCATGTCATTAAATCACTGTGCTGGCAGAACCAGAGGAAAAACCCTCTGTTAAACAGATCACACTTAAAGCCTGAGAGCACCAAACAAGACAACAACTCCAGCAGCTAGGGACATGCTGTACGAAATGTGTGACATTTGCACTACACACACACACGCACACACACACACACACACACACACACACACACAGTCCAAGTCTGCTCCAACGCTCCAAAAACAGATTAGGAAAAAGGGTGTAATTCTATCTACTTCTCAACTGGGCCTCTTTTCATCATGTGACAGTCAGTGGAGCAGGAGCTGACAAAACCCTCCCTGTTATGAGAGTAATTCACGGGCCTCTCAGACCCCCTACAGACGATATTCAACCTGCTGTGAAATACATTCTGGGTATATATTCCAAATAAAGGACACCTAAAAGAGGAGAACAAGCTACAGAATCGGACAAAAATCAGACAAATATCTTTGTTAGAGTCTACCCAGAAAGCAATCTCTTTTATGAAGCTCGAGTCTCTTTACCTGCCAGGTGCTCAGAGTTAATAAGCTGATACCTTCACAGGGGATTTCAGAGACCAACATTAGTGTAAATGGTGAGACATTCTATTAATCGGGATCACAGAGAGGCTTTGTACCGTCAGAACAGGTGTGTTAGTAATTCTGTTAAGGGGCACAGGGGGCACTGCCTGTCAGTCAACACTTGACTACTTGCTCATCCCCCCTTTTTCTGGTTGTATAACATACCATCACACAATGAACAGGTTCTGCTCACATGGACAATCACTACACCTGGGACAGCTGCACTGCCTCGCAACTTGCACACGAGCTGTAGCTGTGTTTCACCATGAAGGATGCACATGCACCCTCTGCTGTTGTGTTGATGCAATTATGATTTAGCTCTGCGTGCAAATGATGTAGAAATATTTTAGCTTTTTTTTTTTTTTTTTAGCTCTCTTTTATTCCCTTCCAGAGTTCAGACCCAACTACATGAATTTGGAGAGTCCTTAAAGAGCAGCGATACTTTCCACAAGATCATTGCTGCTAAAGTGCTTTAAAGTTTTTTTAAACAGGTTTTGGTAAGATGTATGTTTGACTTAAGCCAGGACGTCTGAGGGAATTAGTTTTTTTTGCTTTCATATTGCATTTAGGTCTTCTGTGCTGAAGATTTAGCTCAAACCGGTGCACTGAGCACTAAGCACTGTACATGAAACAGTGAAAGACAAACAGTGGGAGAGAAAAGGGATTACCTCCTCAGCTTGTTATCACTGCGTCGTCAGATGCCGGGGAACTCTTATCCATCTGGAATGTGTTGGGACAACACAACACAGGGCATGATGGGATAATCACTGAAATTAAAGATAGAGTCAAGAGAGGGAAATGTGAGAGAAGCAATATGAGATGGGAAACCAAGAGCAATTGCAGACAGGAGCTTGAATAGGACACCAGGAAAAACTACACAGAGCAGAAAAGCAGCATAAACAAAGTAGTTTCACAAGTTTAGCATTGATGCGTCGGGCTGCACAGAAAATTAAAGCATGGTTCCATCTATAGACCATCAGAAGCCTTGGAATAATTGGTATACCCTACAAAGAGAACATTTATATACTATGTCCAACTCTCCAAAAACTGTCGGTTCATGTTCAGCAATGATAGACAGCAAAGATACTGCAGAAACTTTTTAACCTCTGCATAATTCAAATCACATAATTGCTCTTCTGGTCTGGCTGTAAAGTGAAAATGCCTCTCAACAGAGATTCTACTTCATATACTACATTTACTGTACTTGACTACTACATTTTACATTTCATGACAAATGAATGCATTACTTTTCAAAACATAATTATCTTGGTATGCCATTAGTTTGGTATGTAGAGGATTTTGATCTGTCATCTGAGAGGAAAATTGGCATTTTTAATCAAGTCTAAGTAAAGGCAATACAGTGACTCTTTACTTAGAGTTGACAATTACAAATAATTCCAGTAGATGGCAGCCTTCTGCTACTTTTCGCTTTGAAAAGGCTCATTCTTTCTGGCTTTCCAAATAGGGGTTGAAAGTGAAACTGCGGTGCCCATTTAGAATGAAAGCAAATTTGATAAAATCATGAGAGCTATTAATTGTTTTACCAATCAATGTAAACGGGATGTGTCAGCGCGGAAACCATGGAGACAGGGGGAAATATTATTTCGACATGATTGTAACTCAAGAGAAATAATACATGTGAGATTCCTGAGAAGTAAGGATCACTTGATGAGTGGAACACATTCTCAAACTTGAATTTGTGGATCTCAGAGAAGTAAGTCAGGGAGAAAATAACAGTAGATGGAAAAGCAAGGTTGGCACGACCAAGGGGCAACAGAGGCATCATTGATTGTGTAAGTTAAAATATGTGTGTATGTTGGTGTCTGTGAGGATTATAAGTGGAGAGGGATGCTGGAGATGTAGCAGGTGGGAGACATGGTGGAGGCAGAGACGGAGGAGGACGTGGCAGTGGGGCAGTGATTTAATTAGCACCCTCTACCCCCTCCAGCCCTTCACTCATAGCATCAATAATGCATGGCCCCTTGTTTCCACTGCCATAATTAATCCTCTCTTACTATAATTAAAAGCCAAAAATCCCACAAGATGGTTCAGCTTGGCCAGGCACGGGTTGGGTTGGCACGGGAACTGATGAAAAACTCCAGAGCTTCACACACACTCTGTGGACCGACAGATCGACAGACAGACATGTTGACAGAGAGATCAATAGTCAGCCCATCTCCAACACAAGCAGAGTGAACGAGGCCATGAAGGCGAGCCGGAATAAACGGATAATGTGACATGCAGGGAAATTAAATGAATGAATTTGCCTGACTGATGACGTGAACTGCGCCTTGAAAATAAGCTTGTGTGCTTCATGTTTGTGAATGAGTGAGGGGAAGAGGGTGTCAAGCACAAAACCCTGTAGTTATTCTCCACAGAAAAGAGGACGGATGTACAAAAGCACACACACATCAAAAACACGCACACACACACACTTACACAGTTATCCTGCTCCCAGATGAGGTTTGTCTCCGCTGCAGCCAAGCCAGACGAGAGAGAGAGAGAGAGAGAGAGAGGTGGAGCTTTCTGATGCTGCAATTAGGACCACACTGTCTGGGCGAGCAAACAAGAATGAATATTTCAGTCTGGAGATCTCTATGGATACCTATGGTAGGGGCCTGGCACACCTACAGGCAATACACGCACACACACAGACAGACAGTCACACACACACACACACACACACACACACACACTCACACACACACACACTGAAAGATCGCTTACGATCGCTGCCAGAAATTTTCACCTCCCAATCACAGATGCCACAATTATCACATCAGCAACACTGCATAAATGATGCCAACTGTTATGCTCATTGAACTATTGTACAAGGCTTACAATACCATTATAAATACGCATCTGCAGGAGTATGTTTCTGACAGTTTCTCCTTTGTGGAAATAGGTGCAAGGACCATCCAGGCTTGGCCACATGCCAAGGCACGACACATTTGGTAAGGCAGAGGTCAAATCTCGAAAAAACCTGAATTTCTTCTCCTCTCTCTTTACCTTCATCTGATAGAGAGTACTCACCCCATTGCCACCTCCTTTGACGCCTCGATATTTTTAAACAGTGCTTCAGAAGCTGCAGTGTGTGCAGCCTCCTCACAGCACACTCCCAGTCACACACAGGGACTTGTACAATGGGAGCACTCCCTCTGGTGTGAGTTCATTGTCGAAGCTCTATACGCAACCCTCCTCCTGCCCCGCCGTCCTCGGCCCCATCTCCACTTGATTTATCGCTCTAAAATACCACTGCACTAATTAGTCAAGTAATTAATTAATAGACATTTGCATTTGTGCATATGCAATTAGGGGGCTGGAGAGATGAGAGTGCAGATGGGGTCCGGTAGTCTGGTGGGGGGTGGGAGTGTGTGTGGGTGTGTTTTGTTTTTGTGTGTGTGTGTGTGTGTGTGTGTGCTGTATTTTTTATTAGTGCCAGCAGTAGTATGCACTTCTTCTAAGAAAGACAAGTGAAGTGCAGGTCATCACCTCATGTCTGACAGTGAGAAAGGGGGAAGAGTGGGGGTTGGGGGGGGGGGCTATAGAGGTATGGAGGTGTGGCTTGATGACTTTGAAAGGATAATGGGCATCATATGACCGTGTAGGAAAACAAGTGATGGATTTACTGGGCTTCTTTTTTAGCATTTTGATTACATGCATTTAGCTAAAAAAAGAAAAAAAAAAGAAAAAAAGAGCACAGCAGGTGGCCCTTACTTAAGACTAATCCGCATACAAACAGGATGCAAAGTCGTTCTAAAATATTCTAATTCCAAACAAGCTCTCCTCTGGAGTTTCAATATCAGATCAAAGCCTGCTTGATTGGAGTTCGCCTGCAGCCAGTTGCTGGCTTTAGTCACTGGCTAAAGCTATGCTGTTGACATTTAGCATTTATTTTGGCAAGGTGACCTGAAGGTTGTTTGGGACTTGTTGAGAAGCATCAGGCTTCTCCCATGGCCGGAGACCTCGCATCTCCCCGCCTTCCCAGCGCAGCTGAGGAGGATAGGGCAACGACTTGGCTGGTATGAAGCTGGATGCCCCTCAAATCCCCCTCCACACACACACACACACACACACGCACACACACACGCACACACGCACACACACGCGCACACACACACTGACACAATCAACCCACCACGGTTTGGGGTAGTGCCAAGTTAGCATCCCTTCATCCCATAGGGGATGGGACACATTAGCAAATGTTCGGCATCTCAGCTCCCTAGCCACAGCTGCCATACTACTGGTGACCCCTGGGATGACCCCCTAACCCCCCCAAATGCCTCCTAGTTGTAGCTGCGAAGGAGATTGGGGTGATAAAAGCCCAAGGACATGATAAGCTTCTATCAGCTATTTCCTGGCCTCCAGGTCCCCGCTCACTCAGTCCGGTGGGTGTCCTTGCGCCAAGTTGGACTTGGTGGTCATTGGGCTCATTTCTCTCACATTAACTCCAATAACGTCTGTTAAATAGAGAGATCTCAGGTCTTGGATGGACAGAATGCATTGAGGCAGACACACTGAAGGGACTGAGGTGCCGGTAGCTAGGAATTCTTGCATCTATGCCACAGTATGCCAATGTGCCTCTTCCTAAATCTTACTTCTGCCAGCTTCTAGCGGCATCAACTCCCTGTCATCTCCAGCTACAACCCCCCTTCCTCCTCCTCCTCATTTTTCATAAAGCCCTAGTGGGTCTGCACACCTGGGTCTCAGTCTCTCCCTCACCCCTTGTCTTGTCTGTATGCCCCTTTCCCACTTGCTCTGAAGCTCTCCCCTTTACTCAGCAATGCACTCTGTAAACACCTGCAGTTGTTCTGGCAAATCTCACAAATTCAGGGACAACTACCAGTTACCATTTGAGCTTCACACACACACACACACAAACAACAAGCACGCTGCAGAAGTCAGTGTAATATTAAAGGGCACCTTTCAATCTGACTCATTTGCAGCTTTGGCAAGTGGGTCATCTCTGCCCAGGTTGTGCCCACAGGAGTCAGAACGAATCACAATTGGTATAAGTTCTCGTTCCTCTGAATACGTTGAAGCATAATTTGATCCAATTAGGTAAATAAATAAACAATATGCCTTCTGTTCCACAGCCTTAATGCACTTACAATGCATTCCCATCCCCCTACCGCCACATTGCTTCTGAAACAGACATGTGATTGAGGGTAAACTCTGCAACTATAAACCCAGTTTATGCACCTTTTATGTGCTGAAGAGTTAATTGATGTATTTTAGATGGGCTCCAGTTTTATTGTATTATCTTTAAATTGATTGTTTTTCAAAAGAACACATTTTTGATTAAGTTAATATGACTTGTAAGATATTATTCTATAGATAACTGAACTTGGCTTGGTGTAATAGTTTGCATTTTCACTCAAAACAGATGACACTGTAACATTATGCCTTACACACTCAATAGGCAATCCTGCGAAGTATCATTCTTTTTGGTCTATGTTTATGTTTAGACTTATTGGGAGTCTATGTTGACCTTTTTGTGCTTCAGGGTAGGATTACCTCCAATCATTTCACGTCGAGTTTGTGGTAACTGAAGGGGTATTTACGTAGTTTAACATTTCAAGTGCATAAAACTATGACTGGTAAGTTTGGCAGGTGAATTCATAAATCTTCAGGTTTGACTGAAAAAAAAAAAAAGCGTGCATCCCTTGAAGCATCAGCACAGGTCAACAATGATGAGTTTGTTGTTCCACCATTTTATTATCTCCCTATCTCTTCTGTTTTTCCTCCTTTTTTTTCTGGCTGTGTGAGCTCTAGCGCGGTGACAGATGGCGGAGCCCTCCTCCTCCTCCTCCTCCTCCACCACCACCACCACCTCCTACCTCCTCCTCCTTCTCTCTCTCTCTCTCTCTCTCTCTCTCTCTCTCTCTCTCTCTCTCCCCCCGTCTCTCTCCCCCCGCGGGCAAATCTCAACGAATGCGGGCGCATGTCAATCACCGTGCTCTCATGTGATGGCTCTTGCCGGTGACGTGCCAGCCATATGGGCGCTGGCATCACAGCCTTAGCTGGTATGTAACCCCGTCCCCATAGCTCACGGTTGCCAGACGCGCGCTCACGCACAAACGTATACCATCACACACGCATACATGTACCTACTTACTCACATATACACACACACACAGTAACGCCGAGAGGCACGTCCGTTCACTACCTCTGCTCATTCGAGTGCGCACGCTGGGAGTGAAGCACCTCTAAACAACGGAAGAAGCCGCGCGCCGCCTGCACCTCTACACGCTGTCAAGGAGCGTTGGTTCGCTCACTCGTGCGGTCCCTGAAGATGGTCTGAAACTCGAGCGCGTTTTTTCTCGTCCATCCCCTGTCAAGAGCTCGTGACGAGGTAAGTTGGAACATAAACAACAATAGCAAGATAAAAAAAAAAAAAATGTGAGTACTGAGACGCCCGTCCAAAATGGAGGAGAAATTAATTCAATTATCAGGTACTCATGTTTGTTTTATATCATTTTAATGAATTGACCATTTTTTATGAATTTAGCACATTTTGTCGTACATTTTGTGGAGTAAAAGGCCAACCTTTTGGCACAAAACTCCCTATTTGTCGCCTTCTATATTTGAGACTTTGCTTTGGTCATGTTATTCTTATAGATGCACGTGTCTGTAGTCTGATCCCATCAGATCATGGCAAACATCTTAACAAAAAAAATTTAAAAAAAAAAATAAAGAACAAAAAGAAGTGGATGTTCAAAGAATGTCAAGGTTTTTTTTTTTCGTTTTATTCGATGAGCATGTTTGCACAGATTGTTCCTCACAACCCCGCTCTCCCGCGTGCCCTTCAACTTTTGACATCCAAATCATACCTTGATTATAAAAGACCGAATACCGAGCCCGAGTCAAAAGGTGGGGAGGAGAGAGGTCTAGGGAGAGGTCTTGAGGATTGGAGTAGCCCCCCTCAGCAGAGCCGTAAGGCTGTAGATAGACCATATGGGATATAATTTGATTTAGAGATTCCTGCGTCTGGACCAAGAATGGGAAAACAAAAGACGATGAGGATGCAAAAAAACAAAAAAACAATCATTTCTGTGGAGGATTTTGATATCAGTCCCGTTACCTCGGCGAACGCCCTCGAGCTTAATGGAGATTTATTGTTGATTTTGTCGATGATTCTCACGTTTAATCTCAGAGAAAATGAAAGGGTGGGACAACGCCATTTGATGTGACAGGCAGTCTGCACTGTGATTTATCTCTGATTGTGTAGTTTTATGTCCATCAATATATCTTGACATAACAATATTTAAACAGCACGTCGTCGCTGTAGTGGGGACTTTTGGGCAGGGTTTGGTTGGATTGGTAAACCCTGTTGTGTTTTTTTCTTATATATTTAACGAGGGCTAAAGGGAAACAAGCGATTTCCATCTGTAAAAGGTTATCGCAAAAGTGCTTTGAAATCATGCACTCGTGCATACTGAATTATGTGTGAAATCTATTTCGTGTTAGCTGCACGCTCTGTTAATTAAACGTTGTTGTGTTTTTTTCTTCTAATTGAGCAAACCTCCTGAGTCTGAGATTTAAAAACTAGATTTTGCCCCTGGCACACCCCCCGAGATAATTAACCAACCATCAGAGCCTACCTTAACGCTGGCTGCAAGTCATTCTGCTGCTGCACTATAATAACAGAACATGTTAGGGAGGAAGCCAATGGAGGCTTATTGAAGCTGTCAAAGATCACATCGTCTCTGTTTTCTGGGATGGGACTGCACTTAAGCTACTAATCAAGTGGTAGGACGATCAATTTATTCTTTTTTTTTCTTTAGGATTGGTAAAATAGCACCACAGCTTGGCAGTTCATTCTTAAGAGTTGGTTAATGGTGATTTAATTTCTCTTCCTTTTTGTAAAATATTAAACAATATTTTACAAGCATTTTCACCAGAAAATACAGATTATTTTGCATTGGTGCAATATTTGTATTGTTATTGTTTTAAATCTTAAATCGACCTTTTAATTCACTACAGTTTGATTCAGTTAAGAGGTATATAAACCATAGCACAGGCCATGGCATTAAAATGTATATCCTTTTACAGCTTGAGTCAGTGCATGCCTGTAAGCCTTAATTTAATAATCAGCGTGACTTTAAACGAAGCTACAGCCGATCAATTAAATAAAATCCCTTTTGCCTCCTCTGAGGAGAGGTGTGTGTTGAGGATGAATAGTGCTGGAATTCAGCCAGGAGTGTATATGGGCGTCAGGGGGAGTGAAAGTGGGGGCCCCCATGGGACCTGTAATGTGGCCCCTGCCGCTAGGACCCGCTGCGAGAGGACGCGACAGGGCACACGAATGACAGCAGGGAATTAAATGGGGATCCGTCTGGCTGCAGCCCATAGCAAAGCATTACGACCTGATTTTTTTTTTTTTTTGCCACATATGGACGCGATTTGTTTTTCAGTATTTGAACAAAAGTAATCGATTTTTATTAAGAGTTAACTGATATTTCACTTGGAATAATTATTACCAGATAATCTCGATAATACTTCAAAAGCACAATATTCTGACGTTATGTGCGCAATTTTCTATTTGCCCTGATACGATTGTGGTTTTTTTTTTCTCCAGTTGCTTTATAGACATTATGATCCAAATGTCTGTTTTTTTTTCGTTTTTGTCTAACACCAGACATATGCTTGCCTTTTGCCTGCGAGGCCTTATATTCGATTATCCATTCTCTTTTCTCCAGAGCCACCATGTTGACGAGGCTTTTCAGCGACCCCTCGCTGCTACCCGATGTGCAGAAATACTCCGGCTGGGCTGAGGACAGCGAAGGAGATGACTCAATCATTAAAGAAGAGGACCAAGACACACAGGACGACATGGATGGGTCTGATCTGAGAGGAGACAGTCGGACGCAATCCGAGCACGCCGGAGAGGACGACGAAGTTGATGAGGTGGATGAAGAGGATGACGGAGAGGATACAGAGGGTGATAGGCCCAAAAAAAGGGGCCCTAAGAAGCGCAAAATGACCCCGGCCCGGATCGAGCGCACCAAGGTGCGGCGGACAAAGGCCAACGCAAGGGAGCGGACTCGCATGCACGACCTGAACTCCGCGCTCGACAATCTGCGTAAAGTGGTGCCATGCTACTCCAAAACACAAAAACTTTCAAAAATCGAGACACTGCGGTTAGCCAAGAACTATATATGGGCCCTTTCGGAGATACTGCGCTCCGGGAAAAGGCCTGATCTTGTGGCCTACGTCCAGACGCTGTGTAAGGGACTCTCCCAGCCCACGACCAATCTCGTGGCAGGATGCTTGCAGCTTAACTCCCGTAACTTCCTAACTGAGCAGCAGTGTCCGGACGGGGGCAGGTACGGGTCCGGCTCCCTCTCCATGCATTCCTACCAATACCAGTGCGCGCGTCTCTCCAGCCCCCACTGCCCACCGGGCTCGAATTCGCACCCGCTGAGGACGCACGGTTACTGCTCGGCCTACGACTCTGCGTACGGTGGGGGCGGATCCCCGGAGTACAACAGCCCCGACTACGAGGGGCCGCTTAGCCCGCCTCTCTGCGTCAACGGGAACTTTTCCCTGAAACACCAAGGATCTGCTTCCCCCGACAACGAGAAGGGTACCACTACTCTATGCATTACTCCGGCCTGCCGGGCTCCAGACCCAGCGGGGCCCACAACCTGGTGTTCGGCTCCTCTGGGCCCCGGAGCGGCATTCACTCTGAAAACGCCCTGCCTTACCACGACATGCACTTACACCACGAACGGGCCCCTGTGTACGATGAACTGAACGCGTTTTTTCACAATTAGAGCCAGAAGCCTGTTGTGCGTCTCCTGCAATCAACAATGTAACACTGCACACTTTTAACAAGCTGAAATTCTGCAGAGAGGTTTAACTCGTTGTCATCAGTGTTTTCCATGTATTCCGTGTCTAATTTTTATTTTTGGCTTTAGTAAGCGATGTAGTGGAGGGAAATCCATCACAAACTTATTATCAGCGATTTCACCACCTTTTAGGCTGAAATGAAACTCTAAAAGAAAATGTGATGCCAACACACAATGGAATTTCAAAATATCATTTAAGAAATAAAAAATAAGGTGCGATTTGTGTTTGTATCGGTGGTGGTTTGCATTTTGAAGACTGAGAGTCAAAGTGAAACCACTTTTTAATTAGCCACATACATCACTGGCGTCAGTTTACATTGGTGGAGGTTTTTGTAATAATGTAAACTTAAAAATAAATCAGTGAACTAACTCGTGAGAATTACATGTATTAGGTTTCTTATGTGTGTAAAAGATTTGGGAGGTGTTGAAAAGATGCAATCTCAAGAAATGCAGAGTGAAATGCTGAACCGAAAAGTGCTCGCCGGTTTGTTCTAGAAGATTCTGAGATTCTGTTCTCCGGCAAAATCAATCGTTTCGCATCTATGCAAATCCCAACAAGAGCACAGCACGAGGCAGCAAGGTCCGAAAGACTCTATGTTTCATCAGCACAGGCTGCACGCACTCACACACACACACACACACACACACACACACACACACACACACACACACACACACACACACACACACACACACACACACACACACACACACACACACACACACACACACACACACACACACACACACACACACTCTAACCCAACGAATCTGAATTCCTGGGCAGCCAATTGGATTAACGCCCCCCCCCCCCCCCCCTTTCCCATCGTTCAAATAAAATGAAGTTCATCTTGTTCGTTTTTTTTCTCATTGATCCATTGTATTGTTTTTTTATTTCAAGCTTCCTTTGGTTTAATATTTTGTTTCGATTTACAATGTTGAATAGGATCTCTAATTATCATTCTAATTGTGATCATTATGATTATTATTGCACGTATTTATTGTGTTGTTTTTGTAATAAATGTTAATAGTCGATGGAAATGGCGGGATCCCATGTGTTGCTGGGCAATTTTCTTTTCATAATATTAAAGTCTTTCAACTTTGTAATCAACCAACTGTGTGGTAAAATAAAAAGACAACGACTGGGACTGTGCAACTTCATTTCTATAACACCTTTCCTGTTAAACACATACTATTAAATAACTTTTCAATTCATTTTCACTCTCCACGTTCGATGGAGGTATTTTATAGTTATTTTTCAGATAGAATTTTTATAGACTTAGACATTTGTATTGTAAGGATAATGAGGTGATTTAAGGCTGCTGGTTCAGCCAAACATTCTTTTATTTTTTTTTATGTTATTGGAAGATAACGGATGATTCAACGTTGAGCATGCTGAAGCCGTAACCTGCAGGAGTTCCTCCCAGAGCCTCGGGGCCTTTATCTAATAAACTGGGACAAGAGGGAGAGGGTACTGTGGCCATTTTCCTGATGAAGTAAAGTGGTGCCAATGTATCATTTCTGATTGGCAGAGAGCTCAGGTTTGCAAAACAGCCTTTCAAAAATATATGGAACGATTTAAATGGCAAGTTTTAGGTGGAAAATATGTGCAGTACATTTTGATTGAATGGCTCAGTGCAGACTACCACCAGAGTCTGGACACCCTGGTTACCAAACACAGACAGTGCAGGTTCACTGATGCCTAGCACTGAATTCAAGGTCATCTCCATTGTAATTTTGGTCTGTTTCATTTTGACCGTTTAGACAAAATGTGGGAAACAAACGGGTTTCAGCACCACGGAGAGCTCCTGTTGCTGCTATCTCACTCAAGCAGGTTAAACTTTCAAGTTAAGGAAACTACAGATAATCCAAAAATATTTTGATATTATTTGATACTATTGAAAAAAAAAAGATTGGTCTAGACTTATGTATCACATGCCTTTAGGAAGGGGCAACAACAACAACAATATGACACATGTTTTACAGTGCTTGAAAAGTAACAGAGAATCGACAACTAAAAATCAGAGAAGTATACGTCTTCTGCTGCATTTTTCCGATACTCAGTAAACGACTGAGACAATTGCTGTTCTCTCAATAGGACTTTCTAAAATAAAACAAAAAACCTGTACAGGCTTATAAAAGGAGTTTGCGGAACTGACAGCGCACAATGAGCCTTAACATTTAGTTTGAATGTCCCTTCAATTTTTTTAAAATATATTTCCTCTTTGCATTTAAAATCAAATATAAACTAGGAAGTCGACCCCTTTTCACAGTTCCACCACTTGTAACACACATCTCACTCTTATTTAACCATGGGTTCAATAGTAATCTAAATGCACGGATTTATTCATACTGGGCTATTTCAATCAAATAAACCTGCAAATTAATTAAATACATTCAAACACACTTAGTAACATACACACACACACACACACACACACACACCACAAACACACCCACACACACAATGCAGGGGGCAGCCGTTGCCACCCCGGCGCTTTGGAGCGCTGCCCCGGGACCCATATGCTCCCCAAAATGTCCTGGGCGCTCTTTGCTGTAAGGACACACACAGGCTTTGGGTAGCGACTGATGACGACAATAATACTTGTTTCAATATCAATTAGATATTCAGTATCTTAAAACTGATCATTTCTTCCCCTTTATTTATTTATTTTTTCAAAATTGGCGTGGGCATCAGCTGTGGATTTCCGCCCAGAATGTCCCATAATCCTGTAGTTTTGATTATCAGATATATTAGAATAAAAGTTTATCTTACTTTATTTGAAGAAATTGATACCACCGCATGTTTACCGAATATTTCATCTTCTTATGTCATTATATAAAAATAATAGGTTAAATTCAACGATTTAAGCGTTGGAGATATTGTAAGAATAGGCTATATCATTTTAAATAGTTTCAGTTTAAAAAGTCAACATAAATGTAATATAGCTAATATTAAATTAAATGTCATAATGAAGGGCACTAGAAGATTTAACCAAAGGAGCAATCAGTTTTTGCAAGTTTTGGAAGATTATTTGAAGAGTATTCATAGACAATATAGTTTTAATGGTATTGTAAATTGAAAAGAAAAAATCCCGCACACTACTCTTGCTAAGTATCACCAATTTATTAGAAACAAATAAAAAAATAAATGTATAAACGTTTCCGTCCCTCTGAACCTTTGTCAAGATTTAATGTAAAACACGCAGAACTAATCTGTAATATATTGAAATATAAATAAACTATGATTATATCCTGATTTTTAATTAAAGAATATAGGGCTATATATAATTTGAGCCAAAACATGGCATGTTGGTTAAATATCAGCTAACTGCTAATTGAGGTTTACACATGAAAAAAGTGCTAAAACTCAATATAATTTCTCAACAAAATATTTTAATCTTTACAATGTCATAGAGCAATTCAGCTGACGTTGGTCATGAAGTGCGCTAAATATTTTTTTTTAAATCTTAGTCTGGGAATAAACTGATATAAGCATGCAGCGTTTCGTTTTTGCTTCCGTTTGTGTTTTAATTTTGATTAACCTCAGTACTTTTAAGTTTAATATAAAACCCCTACTTTATAACAACATGTTTCATCAGGCACGCGTCTCTACTGTGAGTGCATGTATTTAGTAGGAGAGTCCTCGTTGGGAATCAAACCTGCAGTTCTGCAGTTTAGGCTTCATGCTCGTGTAACACTTTGTGTTACTTTTAGGCCTCTGTTTTCTTTTTGGCCTCATCAGCAAAGTAAAAAAAAAAAAAAAAGCATGCATTTCTGCAAGAGCAAGCCCAAAAGTGTAGCCGGGAAGCAGTGGGAGAGGGCATCTATCAAAATACTCCCCGACCCCCTTAAACCCCCACCACCTCCTCGTTCTCCACAGTCCGGAGAGAGAGGGTTTGTGTGAGATAGAAAGTGAGAGAGAGGCTGGCAGGCTGGCAGATGAGAGCCGTGCCAAGTCCCTTAATGTTCCCCAGCAGCAGCACCAGGAGCTCCGGAGAGGACAACCCAATGTGTACGCCAGTGTGCCAGTTCACCGGGCCAAAGTGGCACTGCTGGGAGGAGTCGATGTTTCTTTCCTAATTTTTGCAGCATCTGTTCATTATCCAGGACGTTTAAAAACGAGAGCGCTCATCCCGAGTAACCCTTCACCACGCGCACGCACGGCCTCACACACACACACACACACACACACCAAACATACACTGACACACATCAGTAAGACACTTTGAGGGAGAGTTGGATATGCATATTTACCTCTTATGATAGAAAGAAGGATGTGTTGCATCCTGTTCTTACATGTGGCAACTTACAACAAATCAAAGAAATGACACACACACACACACACACACACACACACACACACACACACACACACACACACACACACACACACACACACACACACACACACACACACACACCACACACACACACACACACACACACACACACACACACACACACACACACACACACAACAACATCAACAACAACAAAACACACACAGAGACTGAAGCCAATTATCCATTATAAAAAAGTCTTAATCAAAAGTTCGGTCAAAGTCATGTTTGTTGAAGTAGGTTGCAAAATGTAGCCTATATATATATATATTTTTTTTTTTTACTAATATGTTTTTAATATGGTCAACACATATTATGCTAGTTCATCACTGTCATCCTTGTAGTGAAATAATTGATACGCTACAGGCTTCTATATATAGCCTGGAGTTATCTGTGTTTTTTAAAGTTATGTTGCACTTTTCTCTTAAGGAAGGATAAGAAAATGTGTGTTATATGAGTTAATGGGAATTGAATCGCCAGTTGAAGTATTATAGTCACCCCTGATTTAACACAATTTCACAATGGGATTATAATTATTTATTTTTGTCAATTAATCGTTGAATGCTTCATTTTCAATAATTTTGAAAACAAAAGTCTGACGAGTGACTGACAATTGCAGTCAGTCTAAATAAGAAAAAAAAAAACTTGCATTGCCACTCTGTGCTGCTCTCAGGATGAAAAGTGAGTGAGTGAATCTCGCTGTTTAAATTATCATCTTCATGCCCACTCTTTTTCTCACTCAACTTGGTAGGGGGAAAAAAATCAAGAGTGTTTGTCCGACATAACAGTCAATAGTGCGATTATCAAAATGTCACAAGTACTATGGTGTGAATTCTAATTAACGTCTAGCTAAAAAGAAAAAAAAAGAAAAGAAGTGAGTGTTTTTGCAACATGCAGACATCAGATCATGGTATTTATATGACATGTGAGAGGAGTGGACATTTAGGATTCAATGATAAACAGGTCAGGAGATTATGAGCATTTGAAATCTGTCAGTGATGGAAAAAAAACTATGAGGAAATGCAATTGAAATGGACACATGTTTGCAACAAATAACACACACACACACACACACACACACACACACACACACACACACACAGGCGTGCAACTGAATAATGAATGTCCGCAAAAATGCAAATGGTAGGCTACATTATTAACTTCTTTGGCGTCTGCACACATGCAGTGAAACTAAAATGGAACACATGTGTACAGAGGAAACAATCGTGCAGACTCGGGCCAACCTCTTTGCTAGCCTGTATGCCAGTGCCCCCACATTGCCAGACAAGGGAGCGGGCCTGTCACTGGCAGTCCATTCAGAGGAAATTCCACAACATCTGTTTGTTATCACACAATGGGGCACGGGGCGGCACGGGCACTGGGGCAGAAGAAGAAGAGACAGAAGCTAAACTGAGGGTGTGCTACCGCTGGAGGTCCTGCCAAGGGAGAAACCAGGGCTTCA